GGCATATTAATCTAACCTCTATTCAGACATAACATGGTGCATCATGGGACATAGGGGCCTAGATTCAATCTCAGCTCTACAATTGATTATTTATTATATTCCTTCAAAGTACCATTTACTAGTTTATTGAAGCCTTTACGTGTGCGTTTCATAAAAGGTTTATACAAGTAGGTAGTTTTGCTTTATCTTTCTATGCAGAAATGCAGGCTTGATAATATTTATGGTGATCACATCAGTGAGTGCCAACTCTGTACCAGCCACTGTGCTAAGCCTTTTATTTATGTTATCAGAATTTAAGTAACTTGCTTAGGATTACCTATTTAGTATCTTAGGAAACTGGATGTTCAAACTCCGGTCCCATACGGAAAGTCCTGTGGATTTAATGTCTTTCAGCCTCATCTCTTTGTCTGTTAAATGGCAAAAGTATCATCTTCCTCGTGTGGTTTTCTGAGATTCAGATAATAGCATATGAAAGGATCTGACATTCTTGCTTTAAAAAATACTTCCTTCCAGGGCTAGCCAGTGGTTTGGTGGTTAAGGTGACTGGATCCCACATGGCTGACTTTGTAGTTCAAGTCCTGGACCTGGTGACTTGGAAAACACTCTGGGTGCATGTGCATACCTGGCATCTTCAGGGAGGTGTCTAGATGGATGCAAACGTGGAACCCTGCCATGTGGGTCAGCCTTGTGGAACACTGTCACTACTGCACCACTAACCCTATGCGTCCTTCACAGTTTTTAAAAATACTTCTTTCTCTATCTCCAGTTCCTTTAGACTTCATTCATTCAACAAATATTTATGAGCACTCTTCCCTGTAGAAACTTAGGTTCTAGAGGGGAAACAGATGATAACCAACACCCATGATAACTAACTGAACCACCTGCCTTATTTAAAGATAAGTGTCATGATTGGAGACAACCAGGAAGAGGGAAATTAGGAGTCTAGAAGTGGGAAGTATTTCATTTAGTATGGCTGTGTACCAGATTGCCTCCAAACAAAGTAGCTAAAGCAACTATGATCAGTGATTATCTTTCATGATTTTAGGGAGTCAGAATTTCAGACCAGACAATGTTGGAGTGGTTTGTGTCTGCTTCATGCTCTCTGGGACTTTAGACAGAAGACTTGAAGGGTGGCATCTGGAATCATATAAAGGCTCATTTACTTGCTCACATGTCTGGTAGCTGACATTGGCTGTCCTCTGGGGTCCTCAGTTCTTCTCCACTTGACCCTCTCCTCATGACCTGGGCCTTATCACAACATGGAGGTTGAGTTCCATGGGTGTATGTCCCAGAAAAGAGAGCCAGATAGAAAGTATATTGTCTTTGTAATCTAACCTCAAAAATCATGCATCATTGTTTCCATTCCAAGACAATTTCAGATTTCCACTTGGGTTCCCTATACCCCCCACTCAATAGACAGGTACACTGTTATGTTGCAAGAGCATGTTGGAGATATATTAGTGCAGCTATCTTTGGAAGATATTGTCTGCCATGATGGGCAAGGTAGGTTCATTGATATGCTGTCATTTGAGCAAAGATTTAAAGGATGTGAAGGAGTGAACTATATGCCTGTCTCTGTCTGGGACAGGACATTTCAGATTGAGGCAAGAGCCTATGCAGAATATACCAGAAGTATTTGGAGGCAGGTATAGCTGAAGCAGAATAATTTGTTAGATTGTTAGGAAAGTCATGATGTATTTTTCTATGCAAAAATGTGTCATGACTTTCCCGACAGCCTAATGAGAAAAGTCAAGGTGATCTGAGAGCTGTTGGGGGAGGGGAGGGACCTTACAGGCCATTGTAAGTACTTTGACATTTCCTCTAAGTGAGATTGGGAGCCAAGCTGAGGGCCTTAAGGAAACTTAAGTTTTAAAATTATTACTCAGGCTATTTTGTGGAGAACAGAACTAGAGAGTTGGTGATACAGAAGAAGAAAGACAAATGAGGAGACTGTGGCTCCAGCCAAGATGGTAGTAGTAAAGGTGGGGAGAAGTGGTTGGATTGTAAGTGTATTTTGAAGTTGGAGCCAACAAAATTAGATGTGAAATGGGAAAAGAAGAGGAGTGAAAGATGTGAAAGATGTCTGGATCATTGGAAGGGTGGAATTGCTGTTCTTTTTTTTTTTTTTTTTTTTTTTTTTTTTGTTTGTTTTTTTTTTTTTTTTTTTTTTTTTTTAATGGGGAAGTCTGAGGACATGACAGCTTTGCAGATCAGGTGACAAGTTTGAGATAACAAGTCTGAGATGATCATTAGATACCCACATGGAATCGTTTGAGACTTAGTTGAATACATAAGTAAGAAGTTCCAGAGAGAAGTCTAAGCCGGAAATAAAAATTTAAGGTCATAGGCATAAGGATATTATTACTTAAGTTCCTGGAAGAAAGCACCAAGGGATTGAGTGTGGAAGTGAACAGGACCAAGGACCTTGCCATTATGAGGTTAGGCCAAAGAGAAGGAACCAGTGGAGGAAATGGAAAGGAATGACCCAAACATCCTGGAAGTCTAGAGAAGGAAGTCTATTGAGAAGGAAGAAGATGCTCAGTGCCCTTGATAGGTCAAGGTGAGGCTGAGAACCATTATAGTTAGTGATCGTGGTGGGTATTGGTAATCTGAACAAGAGCTTCAGAGGAGAACTGGGGTAGATGCCTTATTGGAATGAGCTTGTAGAGACTGGAAGAAGAGAAATTGAAAAAACAACAACAAAACAAAACAAAAAAACAAAACCGAGTACACTTGCCAAGAGTTTTGCTGCCAAGATGAGCAAGGAAATAGAAAATAGAATAGTAGCTGGCTGGGAAGAAGAATCCAGAGGATTTGTTTTTTTTCTTTTTTTTTTAAGATGTAAGAAATAATAACATGTTTGTACACTGTTAGGAATAACCTAGAGTGAAAATTTGATTTTGTAGGAGAGAGAGGAAGGAGACCTCAGAGTGATACCCTTGATATGTCCTTCATGTAATTTTATTTCAAGGACCCTCACTTTCCTCCCAAGCAGGGTCCGTGTGGGATGAGTTCGTGGGCATGGGTGGCAAGAAAAGAAAAAGGGAAAAGCCCATAGGCCACTGCCTTGTCAAAGCTGCCTTTTGCTTTCACTCCTTTCTCCTGTTGCCTTGCTATCTGGTCTCGAAACCCCCACTGATAGGGAGTAAGAGCCACAACCACTGCCTGGTCCTTTTTTCATGGTCCAAAAAAAGTCCTAAATATAAATAGATAAGTGCTGCCTTTGGGTTAGAAGCAGACTATCCTCCCCCGCTTCTTTCTGCCTCTCCAGAATAGGCAGCCTGGCACACGTGCAGCGAGGGACCCCTGAGCAGAGGCACAGGTGTCAGCAGAAGGTGACGTGCCGCCTTGTGCCACTTACTGACACGCACCCTGGGATGAGCCGCTCTCATTTAGGGAGAGCATCTCAAAGAGGAATGAAAACTGCCAAGGAAGCAACAGACTAGTCACTGAACAATTCTATTTCACATTTAATTTTAGACGGAAGGTGTCAAGAAGAGTAGCAATGAAATCATGAACAAAATTCCAATTTTTTTCTTTTTTACTGATTGAGAAAAGTATCATTCTGGAAATCTCCTTCCAGTGCCCTTGAATTGTCAGCACTCTACAATAGAGTTTGGTATATAGTATTGGGACTTTTGGGGTCTCTTTCTGTCCAAATCTGTTATTCCTCCTGCATCCTTTCCCTCTGTATTTTATTCTCTAGAATAGATTTTCAATTTTACAGCTAAGAAACGTGAAGCTTTGAAATGGTAATGCCATTTACTATGTTCATGCGGTGGCAATTTGGTAGCTCAGGGGATTTGTTAAAAGCTTGATACTTATGATACGGAATTAAAACTAACTCATTAAGGGAGACTTGGATGTAGGGGAACGGCTGGGGGGACAAACAATGCTGATTGTATCTTTCTGACCTGCTTATCTCGTGACCTGTATTGTACTTGGGAAGAACGGTGAGCAGATTACAATGTTTTGATCTATAGAAGAAAGTCATGGTGCTATTTCTGTGTTGAGCAGCAGCTCCAGTACCTTTGCTAAGGAAATTGGAATTCTTAGAACAAAAGTATACTATGAAAGCAAGAATTAACCCAGAAATGAGTATATTATAGTCTGTCAAACGCCTCTGCCTCACACTACCCCTGGCCTTGCTTTCCTCCTCTTTTCTGGAATGGTGATCACATTCTAAGTGTAAAAGAGCACTTGACTGATGGGAGATGTGATGTGAACAGCCAGCGTTATTAATGATGCCGCCGGCATCCCCTCCCACCTTTCCCAATCTGCTCGCTCACTGCCCTCTGTGTTACCTTGACCCCCTCACTCCTTGCATTCGCCCATGAATTACATTTTGTCTTTAAAGACTGCCCTGTACAAAAGCCTCTTATCCACATGAGCAGCCCACAGTTTCAGCACCCTCTACTCTGGCTAGAGTTGATATTCTGATTTGGTGCTGCACTTCTCAAACCAGTTTGATTTATATATTTATTTTTTCTATCACTCTGGGGCTTGTGGTTTTCTTCCACAGCCACGTCCATGACATGCCTTGATTGGCTGCCCCATGATCCTTAATCAGACTGGTTTGGATTTTACAAGGTGTTAGAGTTTTTAAGTTGCTCATAAGGCCTCTGACACTTGAGTTTATGCCAGAGAGGCATGGAATGATTAAGTTAATAGGTGCTGTTTAGTCCCAAAGATGGCCAGCTTTATTTATGCTTTAGCTCAGCGTGTTGGTGGCTAACAAACAATTCTTTGTAAAGCATGATTGCAGAGCCATGCACTTTGATGGCTTTTTTCCTGCCGTATCAATGATTGGGTAGCTCATTAGGTTTTCTGTTGTAATAAGGGTCTATCCCGGAGAACACTGAGGATGAGGAGAGAAGGAATTATAAGCTGTAGTAAGAACTAGGGGGTCCTTTCAGAGAAAGAAAATAAAGTAACTCTAGCATGCTTGACTGTATAGTAATTTTTCCCTTTTTGTCTTTTTTCTACATTTTCCCCTCTAGAGCTGCCCAGAAGTTAAATCTGTCTTCTAAAAAGAAAAAACATCGACCTTCTACTTCTTCTGTCGCTGAGCCACCTCTCTTTGCCACCAGCTTCAGCGGAATTCTGCAAACCTCTCCTCCCCCAGCCCCACCATGTCTGCTGAGAGCTGTTAATAAGGTGAAGGACACCCCGGGCCTGGGCAAGGTAGGCACCATTTGCTGTCTCTGCCGTTTTCTCAGTGTATTGGGGTCTTGGGTCAAGTCTGAAAATGAAGAAAATGAGGGCTCCAGGGCCCAGCTGTGATGATACACACAGTTAGGATGCTCTAGAGGCTGGGACCACATGGGAGGCCTAGGTTCAACCTAAGGGCCAGGCTGTGTGTACACCTGTAATCCCAGTGACTCGTGGATGTTGAGGAAGGAGGAGCATGAGTTTGTGGCTAGCTTGGCAACATAGCAAGATGCTGTCTAGCTGGGCGGCTAAGGCATGGTAAGACCTTGTCTAATAGGATAAAACAAAACAGAACAAAAACAACAAGGGTTCCAATTTGTGAAAATAAGATGCTAGAGAGAAAAGAAGACAAAATGAAACTCAGTTGGAAGTACTATATAGTTTCCTTTGGCTGCATATACTATAGAAGTAAATTAAAGCATTTAGATTATTGAAGATCTGATTTGATTTTTAAAAACAAACAAACAAACAAACAAAAAAAGCAAAAAAATAACCCAGACATCTTTGCATCATTTGACAGAACGGTAGCCATTTAAAGAAAGGACACAAAAGTTAAACAGAAGCAGGTGAACAAGAGAAGACACACTATAAGAATAAGACATAAAGACACTTTGTAATTTCCCTATGACATTTCAGCTTTTTTTTTCTGCCCCTCGGACAAGTCATGACTTCTACTTTTGGCCAGAACACCGATGGGATTTCTGGAGAGCATTTTCATTCATGCTTCTCTGGACAGAAAATGCAGTTCTGAATTGTAACAAGTACTTAGAAAGAGATATGGGAATACTATGACAGGTTGGTGCTCGGCTATGTGTGTGGTAACTTTATTTTTAAATGTCATCTCTAAACTCTTTTTTAAAATAAATGTCTAAGGGAGGTAACCTAAGGTTTTCTTTTTGGTGAGTAAGCTGGGACTTACAAAAACACTCAGCTAAAGAAAGAGGTGGTGCCTTTATTCATTTTTTCCATCAGAAGTAAGTTGGTGCCCACTCCACCTCGCTATTCCTTTGATGACTGTCACTCCAGCTCTGGGCTTCATTTAGGGAGGTTGCTAGTTTTACTGAAGGATACAGCTGCTGACCTGCGTGACTGAGACTTTAGTCACTCAGATCACTGACGACCTGTCCCCTAGACACCCGGACATGGTCATGTCTTCAGAAGGCCTTGGTTTCTCTGGAGTTTACTCTTGCACCCTCTGTGTCCTCTCCCCTTTTCTGTCTCCTTAGTTTCTCCTTCCATTCTTTCCCACCCTCGTCTCAGCACCTCATTGGGAAGTTACTAGTTTCATAATACCCTTCCTCAAAGTATTCAAATTTTAAGATTATGTTCAATAGAGAAATGGTTACTCTAATGGAAACCACATGGTTCTGGAATTTTCCATTCTGTTGGGTGAAGCAGATAGTTTTCTACTGAATGCTTACCTGGGCCCAGAGACCTAGAAAGGCCAAAGGCAGTGAGGCAGTGGCGGGCCTCAGTGTGTGAGAGCTGCTCCAGCATCATTGGCCATGGAGGCAGATAGAGAAAGCAGTGAGGATCAGGACTCTTCTCCAGGAGAACACTCAGGTGGTGTAAGCCATGGAGGAAGGGTGGTGATACCCCACGGGGCACGTGGGTGCAGTAATGGCTGGTGGGTGTCCTGCCTTCTAAGCATTGTAGGTCCAAGTAACTGCAGGATAGATTTGCTTGCTTGCTTGTTTTCCTTTCTTCTTTCTTTTTTGAAATTTTTAATTGTGATAAAATAACATAGGACTTAAATTTTACTATCTTGGGCCAGCTTGTGGTGTGGTGATTAAAGTGGCTGGATCCTACCTGGCTGACTGTATAGTTTGAGTCTCATACCTAGTGGCTTGGAAAACATGCCAGGCACGTGCGTGCATGCATGTGTGTGTGTGTGTGTGTGTGTTTGTGTGTCCAAAATCCCAAAAGGAGGAAAAAATGAAGGAGAAGGGAGTGCAGCAAGACCATCTCCCATGGTGGGGGGTGCTTTCTTGCTTTTCCTCTTCACCTCTCTCTCTCTCTCTCTAAGTGCATGTATCCTCTGGAAAATTTTTTTAATTTACCATCTTCCCTTCCTTCCTTCCTTCCTTCCTTCCTTCCTTCCTTCCTTCCTTCCTTCCTTCCGTCCTTCCTTTTTTTAAGGTATTTTTTCCATAGGGTGTGTGTGCTCTCCAGAGAGACAGAGAGAGGGATAGTGAGGATGACCATGCTACAGTCCCTTCTCCTCCATGGCATTTTGGGCAGGCAAGCAGGTGTGCCTGGCATGAGTTTTAAGCTGCGGGATCCAGGACTCAGTCCATGGTCGGCCATGTAAGACTGTCTAAACCGCTATGCCACCTGCTGGTACCTTAACTGTTTTTAGTGTACACAAGCTTTTGTTTTGTAACAGGAGTTAAGAACTGTGGTACCAGAGTGGACCTGTCCCGGTCAAAATGAAATGGAGCTGTAGCCAGTCCCCTGCTGCTCTTCTGTGCTGAGCAACAGCCCGCTCCCCCACCCCCACTCAGTGTGAGCGAATATGTAAATGATGGCCCTTTGAAGAGGCTCCAGATAATTAACTAGCCAGGATTTCTCAGGCCCCAAGATGGCCCTGTCCAGCATACCTCACAACTAGCCACATCAGAAGCTGTCTTCGTGCATCTATGACACTGGCCTTATCCGTGGCTCCTAAAAGGGTCTATGTGGGTGGGCTTTAGGTGGACTTGGGCCTCAAGCCCAGAGCTTTCTATCTCCTCTTTTCCCATCCCTAGTCCTTCTTTAGAATTCTGAGACAAGGGCCTCAGGGTGACTGGTCGATGATTGACAGGTGATAAGGCCAGGTAAAACAGCAGTGTCCCCAGCCAGAATACCTAGCACTTGTACCCAAATAGTTTAAGAGAGCAAAGATCACTGGTCCAATTTTGATTTCATGATGTATGAAACAACTTTTGAAAAGTAGTTATTAGTAAACTGAAGTTAGCAAATCTTTAACCTAAAGAAATTAAACATATTTATTTTAAAATGAAAAATATTATTCTGCTTACTCATTTGCAGGCCTAAATGCAGTCAAAGCCTTGAGTTTGTTCATGGAAGTGTATCGTAGATGAAAGTGTCAGCCTGGGGGTTATAGCAGGTGATAGAAGGTGTGGCTTCTGTCTGATCAGTGGCAGCATGACAGCTGAGTCCACCCTCCAGCCCTACTAAGCTGGGATTGGGAGTGGGGATGGGGAGAAAGTGGTAGTTGGAGTCGTCGTAGCAGTAATCATATACTTATGAAAAGACAGGTACTGTGTTTGAAACAAGGTTATCAAGCACACATCCAGTCCTGACTTCCTGCACAGTGTCTGATTCTCACAATGCCGGCAGGTGTACTCTGCCACACCACATAGGTGCCACGCTGCCTGACCATGGCTAACGCCTATCTTTCCAGACTCCTCCTTTTTCCACCCCATTGATATCTCACCATAATTAGGAACTACGGTTCTTTTTATCCACACAGAAAAGTTCCAGCAATTTATCACTGTTGAATAATTTACATTTTAATATGCAAAGAAATACAGTGGAGTTTAATATAGAACATAAATAATTGGTGCTATATATAAATCAGCATGTTGGAAGTAGATAAGCTTGATTGACTTGCCAAAAGCAACCTGTCTATTTCAACCTGAGCTGGGGACTACGGGGTAGTGTTGGTAGGGGGGAAGATTGGAGTGAGGAAACTTCAACAATTGCGTGGTCCAGAAGATGAGGGCTTTGTCACCCTGCCCCACCACCACTTCTCATGCCTCAACCACCCAAGACCTTTCTCTGAACTCCTGGGAGGTTTTTGTAGGAATGGAAGGGATTTTATGAATTTATTTAGAGCAACCCTCTTATTTAGTAAACCAGAAAACTGAGGGCCAATGAAAGTAATAGATTTTCCCACTGGCTCCAGAATCAGGTCAAAAGATAGGACCTTTCAGCGCTCTATTTTTGACTATTTCACTAGATTACCACTAGATGTACATGGCCCTTTAAAGTTTGGGATGGAGGCAAGAGTGTAGTAGGACCATGTTGGTAGCAAAATGCCATTGAGAACCAGTTGATTCATCTAGTGAAGAAGGACCACTTCCCTTTTCAGATTCTTAGTTGGGAGAGAAAGAAGGAATGACAGCCAAGAACAGATAGATACACAGCAAGATGAAGACTGGAGGCTCTGCCTCCCATCTCTCCCTATATTCCCACTGCCTGCTGTTTCCCACAATATCCCTTACCCCCACTGCCCTAGAGAGTCCTTGCTGGCCATTGAACACTCCTTGAGGCAAAAGCTTTTCTGGAACCATGGTGATGAGAAAATTTGATGTAACTTCCGTATACTTGGAGCTAAAGTGGGGGAGAGTGTGCACGTGCACACACGCAACATCTCTGGATCCTGTCTCTCCAGCAGTTCCTCATGCAAACAGCAAATATTTAATGAGCACCTACTCTGTGTCAGGCACCTACTCTGTGCTGGGCAATGAGTTTGCAATGATGGACAAGGATGCTTGTTCTTATGGCACTTAGAATCTCATGTTCTCGTACTTCATCGAACTTGGAAAGCTCACTCCTTCGAACAATATGAGGGACTCTATGATTTAAGGAAAACTGGAATTACAGATTTAAAATAATGCTGCCTAAAGAAACTATTCTACAAAGTGGTCTTGTGGAGACGTTGCTAATGAATAGATAAAGATGATTAGTGGATCAAAGCAGCTTAGTTCCCATTTATACTTCATTGATTGGGCTTATATGTAAATGATACTTCTAATCTGTTTGAACATGGTTCCTTCTCCTAAGTCAGTAAACACTCTTCATGAAATTTGTTTGCACAATTAATTAACATCCATGTTTAAGGTTCATTTGTTAGTGTGTCACAGCTTAATGTCAGAGCTCTTCGTGGTGCATTACAAGCTTCTAGAGCAAAGCATTTTATCTGTTTAACTCACTTAGTACATGGCTCTGCATGTACATCATGGGCA